ATATAGTTACTTTATAGTTATTTTATAGCTATTTTAAAGTAGTTCTAAAGTTGCTAATTTGGCAGTTTCAGCAAAGTAAAATTTAAAGCATCACAGAAGAATAATGGCCGCGCTTACAAAATATAACACGGCGCTAGGTCTTTTACCAGGACTTTATTCAGGTTCTGAAGTTCGTCTTTCATCAGGGGTTTTGTTTCGTCACTTTAATTTTTCAATAGGTTAGGTTTCTTTTTTCGTCATTTTTAAAAAATGGTTTCGTCTAACAACACTAAACAGTCATCAGTAAACTATGCACTAAGGCGTTGAAGAAGAATCACTTACCGGGGCTTTGCCTTTGTAGAGGTACTGTTTTTGCATATTTGAATTTCGTCAGGGGCTTCGTTTTTTGTCAGAGGTGTCGTCTTTCGTCAGAGGCTTGTTTTTCGCGGATGTTTCGTCACTTTCGAGGTTAGATTTTGTCTTTCGTCATTTTTAAAAATAGTAGATTACAAATATAAACAGAATCTTTACTGTACAACAAACATATACCAAATTTAAACGAACCTGGGCACACAGAGAAGCACAAAGATTAATATATTAAAGATGTTCAATTCAAATAGTTCTATATTTACCGTTACGTATTTACACTTTAAACTCCGGGCAATAAGAACAGAGCACTTCCAATTTATACAAAAAAATTGGTTTTGAATATCTATGTCTATAAAAAGGAATCAAAAAATAGAAAATGACTGTGACGCAAACAATATACAACTCTTAGAAGAACGTCTTAGGCGTTACGAAGATGAAGCAGGCCAAATTAGAAGTACCTCAACATTAATAGACAGAGTTTCATATTTACGAAAAAACAGAGAAAATGATGCGTCAAAGGCAATCATTAAAATTGAAGATTCAATGAAATTTGATCTTTGCTTTGTTCTGGACTGCACAGGCTCTATGGCTCCTCACATCAAAGCAGCGAAAGAGCATATATTAAAAGTGGCTAGTTACGTAAACAACTATAATTCAAATATCAAATTCTGGGTCGGTTTCTGTGGTTATCGTGATCACTATAATCGTAATGATCGCTTACAAATTTTTGATTTTACTAACTCTCTCGAGAAATTTAAAGAATATATAACCAATAAAGTGAAGGCTAAAGGTGGCGATGATGAACCAGAAGATGTCTTAGGTGGCCTTAATGCAGCGATAACTGAGATGACGTGGAGCTATACATGTGTGCCTAAATTATTTTTGAAAAAAAGTATTTTCGGCAAACATTTCGGCATTACTAAATTTTTTAA